TTCAATCCAACCTCTTTCTTGAGTTTTGGCTTCGATGGAGTTCTAAAAAATTTCTTAGTGAATTTGGATTTTCATTTTGAAATAATAATAATTCATCTAAGTAATTAGTACTTATAAACCCTATTAAAATATCAATAATACTCTTAAAAAAGGCCCAAAATCTTACGAATTCATAGTTGAATTTAATAGTGAACTGCAGAGGTTGCAGGCATCACCTGCGCTTGGCTATCGATGGGTCGTCTCCCAACAAATGGACCGTCCTACTGGTCCCTGATTTGGGACAAGTGCTGGTCATTGTAAGTCAAACCTCAAACTCCAATGTATTGAACAAATCCCTCAACCCATGGGGCTTCGACAAAGCTACTGGTCGTCGATTACCATCCGTAGGTAGGTCTGCTTTTGGCCATTTTCGCCACCAAGATGGGTCCTTCCTCAAGGAACCTTTGTTGGAACTTTGGGACTTTTGTTTGCTAGTTTTCAACTATAATATGCTCATATACGAGTTTAGGACCTCTAATATTAATTTTTATCCAAAAAAAACACATAAAACTCGGATGAAACATACTAAAATACACATGGTAATTTCATCGAAAATATTTCAAACATCATGGACGTTCATAGACGTTTGACCTCAACATTTCATTAAACTTGACACAATGCCTATAAATATTATTATAACTCATATAAGCACATCATCATATCATGATACGCTTATAAGCATATCAAACAAAAACGATGCACATAGGTGACTAGTCGTTGAACGTCATAGTCGTCCCTTGATTATGTGGTCGGGGTCTTGTAAGTCTGGGTCACTGTTGGCTGCCAAATTCTCAATTAGTTCAAATAATTAATTATGTGGTTAGTTAATTAATTATGGGTTATGTTAGGTTAAATAATTTATTTAATGACATACATAAAGATACAATCCTAATTAAATTAACCCAACTCTCATAATTCCCAAAAACACAATAGCTCTTCCTTCTCTCTACTTTCTGTCTCCCAAATAAACTCCAAACAAGACCAAGGTCAAGGTGGGTTCTAGGGAATCAAGAAGTAAAGTTCCATCCATAAATATTCATAAATTAAAAAGGTATGAGATCCTTTAAGATTTGGGATTCCTTTTTCCAAAGGGTTCTTCAAAAATTGTTTTCAAAAAGATGAGTTTCGAGTGAGTTTTTTTCTATTACAAATTGGATCTTCTAAATTGTATTTTATATGGTTTATTTTTATTATTATGTTTAGATTATGATTTTTTATGATTTAATTATTCTAGTTCTTAGTGAGTTAACCTAGTTTTGTAGATTAAATCTTGAATATGACCCCAAGTCCCTAACCCTAGTTTATGAATTAGTGATTAATTGATGTTTAGTAATTCTGTTGACTTCATTATTCTGTTAATTACTATTGTGGTATAGTATTACACCCATTATTTGGTTGATTGGATGGTTGATTATAAAACATTGGATGATGGCTTGTGAAGGAGATAGGGGTAAGTCTTGTGATATGAAACCTTTACTTCAATTATGATTTGTTGTGTTTAGTGATGAAGTTATATTGATGTAAAACTCATGATTATATTGATCAATTTTGGTATCATATTGAATTAAAATGTCTTGATTTATGGATTCTGAGTTGTTTGCTAAGATTTGATGATATAGGGTTGGTTATGAATTTGACTATGTGCCTTATTATGATATGATCATGTAAATGTGCAAACCTCAGATTTGTGAATTTTATTTATAACTACATATTTGTGAAATTCCTATTAAGCTATGTCTATGAATATATATGGCGTTTACCTCTATGACCTAAATTAAGTTATTATTATTAATGAAAGACATTTCAAAAGAGATTCTATCTTAGAACCGAGTGAACTAGTAGTGAGGAGTGTCCCTTCTGATATGGGGAAGGTAGGTTCACTATTGCACTCATGAGATTGAAGACGATAATGCATGTAGCATAAAGACGGTCCCAACTACATCTCCTAGTTCTTGAACAATTTCGCCACCACAGGAATACTAGCTAGTTGATCCATATAGATGCTATGCTCATGTTTTGGTACTACCTTGGCAAGTAGTCCACCTTTTTCGGTGAATAGTTTCATGACTGGATTCCACATTAGCTCATGTGGTCTATGTTGGTTAATGGAAGATGTTCCCAAAAGTTAAAACGAAGTAACAAAGTGAACTCTAACTAGGATGACCTATGGGGTTCGAGTTAGTCTAGGTTGGGGTATGAGACTCTATCTATACTTTGCACTAGAAAGCCTTGAGGGAAGTTCTAGAAGGATGTTATTATGTTCTTATATGATTATAAATGTAAATGATATCTATACGTTCATCTTACATGTTGATGACACTAGGTGATATTGGTTTCACTTATAAACATGTGTTTTGTATCTATTGCTAAAGTAAGATGATGTCTACTCTTAATTATATAGTATGTAATTTTGTACATTTCGTATAGTTCTTGTTGGGTTTACTTGCTTGAGTGAGGTTATGAGGCCATACTTAATCATTGCACTGGTGGACTTATGATGGTGTATGAGTGATGGTATTTCTTAGGTTATGATGTTATGAACTCTTATGCGTGCTTGGTAGTATTATAACTTTATGATAGAGTTTTCTTTATTATGTTCGCAATTTTGTTGATATGCATGTTGACTTGACTAGACCTTGTATTGTTGGTCTTGTTATATGCATGGTCCCGAGTTAAGTGGTATGTGTTTATTGACTTGTATTGAGTTTTGAATGTGCATAAGGTACTTCCAAAGTATTCTTGCATTATTTTGAATTGATGCCCTTTTTTTGCAAGATTTATATGTTGCATGTGCATATGATCCTATACTTAGTACAAATGATGTGCTAAACCCATTTTTCTCTTTTTCCTCAACATTTTAGGTTTGGGACGTCAAAAGGTTCGTGACCATTTTGAAGGAAGGCTTGGAATAATTCTCCAATTGTAGGTATATCCTCATGTTCGAGGATGATGCCTTGATATTACTTTAGCTATGGTTCTTTATTATAGTATAAAGATAATCATTTCATTCATGTTGTTGTAAGATATCATTGTAAGTTCAAAGTGGCATTTCTACATTGTTTAAGGTCTTATGCCCATGTTGATTCGGCTATGTTTAGATGATTAATATTAGAAATCCCTTTCAACACTATGTTACTTACAGTATATATATAGCCATAAAAGTAGAAGACCATGTAATCTTATATAACAAGGGTCTATGTATATATTATGTGTAATTGAGATGTCTAAGTAAACCTCATGAAATAGTGTAGATGAATTTTTTTAAATTTTCTTTGTTTTTAACTGATGAATGTAATGACTAATGCTAATAGGCTAGTCTTATTCCTCTGCGAGGAAGACGACACCGATTACATCTAGGGGGTACTTCTCGGATGTAACAAACATAGTATAAGATCAAGCGGTTAAATATACCTAGAAATGATGTCTCATTAAACCACGTGTATGTAGAATTCTAATTCATAATTGTGAAGCGCGCCACACATATGAATGAGAGATTATGTGATGCTTAGAAACTTTCATATTCCTATTTTCCTATGTTGTGCCTCTAGAGTCTTGTTATGTGCTTTAACCTATACCTTTTATTGTGGTTATAGGTATGAATACTCGAAGAGCAGTGGATAGAAGGGTCGAGGAAGAAATGTCTACTATGGGAGATCAATAAAATTAAGTGCCTTTAAAAGACAACCAAGTGCCTTAACTTGAAGAAGTTGCAATGGGTGATCATGTTCCGGATTTTCCTCCACTAATGACCGGTGGAGAGATAAGGGTAATATTTCTCAATTTCGCCCAAGCCATGACCTCTCAAGCTAATTCCGTCATTTCTCAAGTCCAAGCCATGATGGCACAAGTGAATAGGAGGGTTAGACCTCGAGTGACTCATAATGCTAACACTATGGCTTCTCGGTTGAGAGACTTTACTATAATGAGTCCACCTATGTTCTTTTGGTCGAGGTAAGATGAGGACCCTCAAAATTTACTCGATGAGGTCCATAAGATTCTCTATGTTGTGGGTGTTACCACAATTGAGAAGGCAAAGTTGGTGTCTTATTAACTCAAAGATGTGCCTCAAACTTGGTATGTTTAATGGAGAGACAATAAGGCACTAAGAGGTGGTCCAGTTACATGGTTATCTTTAAGAGGGTTTTCCTTGATAGACTCTTTCCTAGAGAGAAGAGGGAAGCTAAGGCGGAAGAATTCATAAACCTTCGTCTAGGAGGTATGAGTGTACTTGACTACTCTTTGAAGTTTACTAAGTTGTTCAAGTATGCTTTCTCTTTGGTTTCAAGTCCCATGGATGAGATGAGTCATTTTCTTATAGGAATGTCTGATGACTTGGTGGAAGAATGTCGTTCGTCTATGCTTCATGATAATAAGAATATCTCTCCTCTCATGGTTCATGCTCAGCAAGTTGAAGAAACTAGGTTAAGAAAAAAGAATAGAGAAGCCAAGAGGGTTAAGTCTTATGTTAGTGGTACTTCAAAAGGAGGTTGGAAATTAATGACAAACCTAAGTTTACATCAAAAAAATATTTTTGTGAGTTTGTTTTTTGACTTTTTTAGAATCGTCACTTAATTTTTTTTAGAAAAAATCATAAAAACTAAGGTTTCCAAAGACTTAGTAGAAAAATTGTTTAAAAAAATCCGAGGGACTCGGTGATTCCTATTAATTTCTTTTGAAGGTTTTTGAAGCACCCAAGACGTCCGCTTAACATGGTTATTCGACAACTAATTTATTTGGCTAAACTTAAAAGTCTGATAAAACATTACTTAAAGTTGTTTAAAAATGAAGTGCCGAATCTTTTAAGATTGTTTTTAAAGTGAAAAATTATTTATCTAATGTTAATTTTAATATGTAAAACTCTTAAATCATTTATATGATTTGATTGAGTTGTTAAACCATAGTGGCTTTTAGTGGGGAATTGAATTTTCCTAACCTTTAAAACTAAAGAAAAGAAAAATAGATAAGCAATAACAAGCAAGTAAAGATAGAGAGGAGAGAGATTTGGGTCCAAATCCGAGTTTTCTGTTCGCCTTGAACGGTAGCTAGACCCACCTGTCTTTGAGTTTTAACTCATTTGACTTTTTGGGTTTCAACCCATATTCTTTCGGACTTGTCCTAGACTAAAAATAATAATAATAAATGAAAGGGAAAATGAAGGACGACAAGGTTTTAGGCCCATTAAAAATAATAAAAAAGAAAAGAGAATAAAAAAGAAAGGTTGTCTAATCCAACGTCTTCAAATATCTTCAACTCTTTCAACTTTGGATCCTTCCTTTTGTTTTGGACTTTAAATAATAAGGGATTCGAGCCTCAAAGTCTCTCAAGCTAGATGCAAAGGGAAAATGAAGGTTCATACTGAACTCGGATAGTATCACATGCTACGAAAAGAAATAAAATAATAGTATTTAATCAATCAGTGCGACGACTTTAAAATCACAGAATGCACTATCATCTATATTGCTCTTTTTATTTATCAACTCCACAATATGGCAAACAAAATGGTAGCTTCAAAGGAAAAGAGAAAGCAAACTTATATATTGTATCATTTCGTTTATACATTGTTTATGACATACACAACAAAATTGGGAATCAGTGATACTAATGCTTTAAACAATCATTTCATCTATAAAAAACATGACTGGAATCGAGACTAACGGGACAAATTAATCAAATTGTTTCAATCAACTTAATAAGTCAGATTTTCAGAAAATTTTAGCATGTAGAGAGGGGGAAAGGTATTAAAATACCAATAATTTAAGACGAATAAAAGGATCAAATAGAAACTTCATAATACAAGCCCAAGCAATATTCTCAAGAAAATAACTCAGAAAAGATTACAAGATAATAACACGTGGAATAGTTCAAGAAAACAAATGACATTAAGTTTAGGCATATATAATGACCATTAACATGCTCCACAGCACATTACTTTCTGAGGCTTATAGGCAAATTGAGCTACCACCTCAATAAGCCATGGATAACATCATACGAGCTTCATATTAGAGTATTTTAAGACTCTACCACCCGTTGAAAAACCAAAAAAACATAATCAAAGTTCCATCTCCCTAATCAACATTAAACCCAATGAGCAAAGAAACAACAGAAACAAAGCCAAAGCACGGAAATAAAAACAAATTAAGTTCAAATATTAGTAGAGTATTCAGCCTTTAACTATCTAGAAAAAGTTTATATATAATTTAAACAACCCAGGTGCTGATTCAATAAACCAAACAACCTTTCCACATAGAGAAATCTCAAACTAAACAAGAACGAAAGCATTTTTTAAAGACAAGAAGCAATACACACATACATTTTTAGTTCATACCAAACACATGATCAAACACTAAAAAAATTGTTTAAGAGTGAGAAGTTGAGAATAAGTTTACCTTTTCCAGTGTAGTAAAATAAGACTACGAGTTTGAGGGTGACGATCTTTCAATCAGGCGAGCACAGACACGAACCCAAACAAACGGAAAGAGGAGGTCCAGAAAGACTTCAAAATATTCTCGATTCAGTCTTAAACTTACTGCCATTAACTTGTTGAGGCTCTGTATTCGTATCAAGAAACTTCCCGTTATACCGAACCCATAATGAATTTTGACTTAGAAGTTGTCGCTAAATCCCCTACGATTACCACCCCAAAAGAATCAAGGGAAAAAGATGATAAAAAACCCATCATTTCCCATGTTTAAATGTTTCTTCTTTTCAAAAATTTTCCTCTCCTAATTATCCATAACTCTGTCTTTCTATCTTCTCTTAAAAATTTCCAACCCCCAAATCTGTCAAGAACAGGAATATTTATAGGAGGGGTATTAGGGTTTCGTGTTTTTATTGGGGGGGGGGGGGGGAAGGGCATAACGGGAATTCAAAATCATTACTCAAATTCAAAATTCTTCAAAGGGCGAAAAACAGCTACTACCAGGACAAAAAGGACTCCCAATCTATTAAAATTCGAATAAGGACAGCGATGTGGTTCACTTGGATCGTCTCAACTGTCCTTGAATGCAACGTGCCTTGACCTTCGGTTGCACAAGGACGAAACTACAGGATTTTCTTCTCAAGGAGACATTGGAGGAAAGAGTGTCGTTGCTCACGCATTTTTGCGTTGTCTGGTTCAATGGACGTCGCAACTGCTTGGAATCACGTGATGCTACACGCTCTGTGATGAAGCTTCTCTGTTGTACAACTAGTGCTCTCATCTTTTTTGAACGACAGAGAAACGGGTCGGGGCAAAAAGAGAATCTGTATAGGGAAAAGTGGGTTGGGTATTAGTAAGTTAGGCCTGCAGAATTGAGATGGGATAGGGGATTGGGCCTGAGAGATTAGAAAGGAGTTGGGATGAAAAATTAATTGTACGAGTTGGTTGATTTTAGGAAGGGAATTGAAGGAATGGGGCGAAACAGAAAAAAATTGATCAGGTTGAACAATACAAAGAGTGCGGTTCTGCGGATAAGTCAAGGTTTTGGTATATTAAAAGGGTAAAATGGACTATCAAATTAGCCGAATGGAATTGTAAATTGGTCAATTTGATGAAATTTAAATGAGACGAATTGATTCATATTAGTTAATAAGTTTCATGATTTCGATGGAATGAAATAGTGAACTTACTAAATCGGATAATGCAAAGATATAAATAATTTAAGTTGAACTAATTTATTTGGAAATTTGAATTAATAGAAAATCTTTTTGACACGATTTTCAAATATTTATGAATAAGATCAATAAAATGATTTTGAAAAGTATTTGATTTTCATAAAACTAATTATTCTGAATCGTTCGGGAATTATGAATTTCATGAATTAATATATATCGGGGAGGTCAGAATTTGTTGTCAACAACGTAGATTAAAGAAAATGTTTTCTAACCAAGTTCATTCCCAAGTCTCTTGATAATATGGTGTCTAACCCAAAGTTTGAAAAGGTAAAAGTTACTAGCTCACCTAGCAAGAAACCAACTTGTAGAAAATCTTGAAAGAAGCATTATGGTGATTGCCTTGTTTGATATACAATTGCTTTGGGTGTGGCAAGAGTAGCCACAAGGTTAGGGATAACCCTAATATAAAGGGTCAAGACAAAGGTAGCGGGAAAGCTCAATCTAGTTAATCTTGTGTGGATATTCCCAAGAAGAATCGCTTTTATGCAATTCGCTCTAGGGGTGAACAAGAGACTTCTCTCGATGTGTTGACCGGTATGTTACAAGTCTTCTCTGTTGATGTCTATGCTTTACTTGATCAGGGTTGTAGATTATCTTTTGTTACTCCCTTGATATCTAGGAAGTTTGATGTTTTGCCTGATATTCTAAATAAACCTTTCATGGTAACTACACCGGTAGGGTCGGGGGTTCAAAAGAGGTTATATAGAAATTGTCCTATAATGTTGCCTTATAGAGTTACTCATTTTGAATAAGTAGAACTTGATATGGTCGATTTTGATGCAATTTTGGGGAGTGATTAGTTTTATGATTGTTTTGCTTCCATTGATTATAGAACAAAAATGTAAAGTTCAAATTTTCAAATGAACCCGTCTTAGAGTGGAAAGGGGGAAATTATATTCCTAGAGGTCTTATCATATCTTTTCTTAAGGCTTGTAAAATGATCTCAAAGGGATCTCATACTATTTTTTAAAAGTCAAAGATTTAGAATTCGAAAATCCTCAGATAGAGTTAGTCACCGTACTTAGGGAATTCTTGGAGGTCTTCCCTAATGATCTTCCGGGAATCCTTCCCGAATGGGAAATTAATTTTGGTATGGACTTACTATCGGATACCAACCCCATTTCAATCCCTCCTTATCGGATGGCTCCGCCTGAATCGTAATAGTTAAAGCCTTAACTCAAGGTTAGTAGAAAAAGGATTCATTAGACCTAGTTTTATCAATGGGGTGCTCCGGTATTTTTTGTGAAGAAGAAGGAAGGATCCCTTAGAATGTCCATTGATAATAACAAACTCAATTAAGTCACTATTAAGAACAAGTATCCTCTCTATAATGCCTCAAAAATGACTTAGGTGAAGCTCAAGAATAACATGGTTTTCAAGTTCTAACGTCCTAAAATGATGTATAATGTGGTATTTAGGCAGTCTCGAAAGATTTAGGTGCTTTGGAAGTCAAATGTCACGGGACGAATAAGACGTGCGACGACTAAGTCACCTGTGTTCTTGATGTGTGGTTATGTGCCTATATTTGTCTTTTATAAGTTAATGAGTATCTTATATTAATTATTATAGTGTTTATTGGCATAATGTTGAGTTTCATGTATCTTCGAGGTCAAATGTCCAAGAACGTGCATGGCGTTTGAAACATTTTCCTTGAAACAACCTTGTGTGTCTTGGTATGTTTTATCAACCTTTAGTTGTTCATTTTGTTAAAATTTATGTGGAAGGTCCTAAAATCATATACAAATATATTCCTGTTAGGAATGTCCGAGTTAAAGTCCCCAAGGACCAACCAAGGGTACTTGTGTAAGGACACTTCTCAAGATCCAAGACTGCCCAAAGCAGTCCCAAATGACCGAAGCAGTAGACGGCTCGTCGACCCCTCAATACCCTTCGATGGGAGTCGTTTAACAGCACTAAGGCTTATCATGGAAAGATTCCAACGACCAACTTCACTCTTAATTAATGGACCAACAGGATGGTCTGTTGGTTTGGAAACAGGTCGTCGTTTTGCAACTATCTGTGAGGGCTAGTTCCTGCACAACTTACTTTTAATTCTATGGGTAAAGTTGGAAATTTAGCCCATGTACAAATAAGGGTTTGGTAAGTTACTTAGGGGCACTTTGTGTATTTTAAACATGTTTATAAGCCTTAATAACTTAGGAGAATTCATTCTACAAAATCAAAACCCAAAATATCATAGAAATTCTCTAGAACTCTATTGAATCCAAAACTCAAGGAAGATCTTGGATTGAAGATTTGGGTGGTGATTCTTCATAAATATCGTGGATTAACATCATAAAGGTATGGTTCTTTATCCTTGAAACTCTATTCATCAAGGAGCCAAAAAACTCTAAGAGTTTTCTACTTTTTTTAAAGATGAACTTGTCCAATTTTATGATCTATCCATGGGTTCTTGCATTAAAGGTCTTACCTCATTGTATATTGATGGAATCATTTTTAATTAGATTATTTCAAATCATTTAACCTATGAACCTATGTAGTTGATGAACCCTAATTTATAACTACTTTATGGGTTATGTGATATTGTATGAATGCTTATGAATTCTAGTGTAGTTTTCTATGGGCTATTGAATGATGTAAGAATTGTTTTTAGTTGATGTCTAATTTGACTTAGAATGACAAGTCTATATTGAATTGACTAAGATTCATTTAGTATTATAGTTTAGGTATTGAATTAATGTTCATGTCCATGTGTAAGGGTTTAATTGTATTGAATTTGATGATTTAGCTATGGAGTGGAGTGGTGAGAATTAATTGGTGGTAAATTGGCATAATTCACTTTATTTTAAGTAAGGTTTCTCTTGAATTATGCTATTATTGGTAAGGTCCACATATGGTGGCGGCACTGTGTGTATGATGTGGCCTTGTCGGCGTTACTTTATGTATTATGATAATCATGGCCTTGTCGGAAAACTACTTCAAGTACTATGATGATGTTTGTAGTGATTTATGTGAAATGTGTTCATGTCCATATACTTGTGATTAAGATAAAGTATGTTTTGTTAAATTGATGTTGTTAGGCGATCATGTTAGACTATGACTATGTGTTTATGTGTGTACTCTTAGAGTTGATGCATGATTGTTCCTAATTGTCTTTGAGTCTATAAAGTTTATATTGATTATGTTATAACAGTGGATAGGATGACCTAAATATGATGTTGGTTGTCCCTATATGCTTCTACAATGACATGTTAAAGGTTATATGCAAAGTTTGTTGTGTGTTGTGTGGTTGACTTGTGTTCCTTACTTGATACATGTATAAATGTGAATATGATAAGTATTGAATTAGTATGCTAAAGACTATAATTATTCAATGTATGAATGACATGTGACCTTGAATTATGTTAAGAGTGTCTTTAAGTGAAACATTTAATCTAGTGGTAAGGTTACGAACATTGAAGTCGAAAGTCGTAAGGGTATCCTTCTTGTAACTAATTATGGATTTAAGTTTTATTGGCACGAACGGTATCATATCATGCTTATGAAAGTCATGATAAGCTATTTTGGTCGCCATTATAAGGTTTCCCTAGGGAACCTCTTTAGTATGGTGAATGTGATTGGATTATGAATATTATATGAAAAATTATTATGAACCTTTATTGTCAATTACTCAATGAGAACAAGGCTAGCACCTAGTGAGTATGGTAAGGGAAGTTGCTCTAATTAATATCGAGGATAGACTACAAAGTAACCCCTTCATATTCCCAAACCATGTGCTTACATGGGGATGTGTCCAACTTCTACCATTGGAAAGTAGAACACACTCATCGGAGTAGGTTAGAACTCCGGACTCCATGTTTAGCTACCATTGTTGATGTCGGTTATTTTATATTCTCATCATGTGGGATACCTATTAGCATTAGAGAAGTTCTATGAAGTTTAGGTTGTGGTATGGGATGCTCTCTAGACATTGCACAATAGACTTTGAACATGTTAGTGGGAGTCCCTAGGTCCTGTCTATGACCATTGCTTGAATGTACTTTATGTGATGGATGTCTCTTAAATGAACTAAGGATTGTATGACTAATTTAAGAAAGCATGTTAGATGAATAAGTACTCATCGAGAGTAGTTAAGTGTTCTCTAGTTAAGGTATAAAGGGAGTATAGGAATGGTCACTTTGTATCTTACCTCGATAAGTCTTAAGAATGAATCTAGTAAGGAAAAATGGTTGATAGTTTAGACGTGATAAAAAATTAGGTAGTCTTAAGGATTACTTAGGTAATCTTGAAGAGGTCAATCATGGACATTCTTTTTTGGAGTTACTTGAGTAGGTCTTTTGATAACCCTTGGGAGGTGAATGTCGTATTTTATGAATGCTATTGTCTTAAGTTGGTATGATCTTAACCTAGGTAGTCCAAAAGGACCTCTTAAGTGTGTGTGAAAGGTATTGTACGGGTTGTTTCTTCACAACTCATTCAAGTGAAACTTAGAATTACCTTAGGTAGGAGAATCTCATGTTCATATGTTGGTGTATTGTAAGTGTGTGGATCTCATTAAATGTGGTCTTAATAATTATTAGTTTGTGCCTAGAGAGGGTGTATGTGCATATATCTTTGTATTACTTAAGTGAGTCTTAGGATAGGTTTTAGTGAGGAAATTGTATGCTAGAAACTGTTCAAGGTGAATTTGATAGGGTTCACTGTAACAGTGAAGAAATTCACTGTAAAAGTAAATTAGTTCACTGTAAGTTGTTTCTAAAAATGTTATAAAATTTTTAAGTGATTTCTTATGTGTTTCTAAGGTGTTAAATGTTGTTCTTATGA